CGCCCGGCGCCCGGGCCTTCCTGCCCCCTTGCCCGCTCGCCGGACTGACCTGGCCGCCCTGGCTGCCCTGGCATCTGCAGCACCGACGGACGCATTTGCATTTGGGACGTGCGGTTCATGCGCGACCCGCTGGTGTGCCAGCTGGACGCCCACCGGACCATGGCCCCGGCGCCGCCCGGGGCCCTCTTCCAACCGGACGACACCCCGGCCTGGACGCAGGAGCACCTGGCCGAGGTGTCGGCCCGTCTGAGCGCCAGTCGCCGGGGGACGCGCGCGCACCGGCCCGGCGCCCCGGTCCGGGGGCTGGAATTCTCGGCCGACGGCCGGCGCCTGGCATCGGTCGGCGGCGGGGGCGACCTCCTGCTGTGGGACCTGCAGCCCGGGGGCCAGGGCGGGCTTGGGCTCCAGCCGCTGGGCACCCCGCGCCAGGTGGCCGCCGCCTTGCGCGAGCGCGCATGGACCCCCTCGGCACATGCCATCAACACGCTGCTGGCTTTCCCGCCGGCCGGCGACGAGACGTCCACCGGCCCCGGCGGCGGGTCCGGCACGATGCCCAGCCGGTCGGCCGTGCTGGCGGCCGTCGGGCTCGGCCGGGCGCGCGCCCAAGCGCCCCGGCACCCGGCGGCCCGTGCACCCGCAGCGCCGGATGCCCGGCCGCGGCGACGGTCTCGCCGGGCGGCGCCCCCCCCCGGGCCCCGGGGCTCGGATGTCCCGGCGGCCGCCGTTGCCCAGCCAGCCGGCCGCCGCGCCACGCCATACTACGCCTTTGCCTCGGCGCCGCTGGCCATCATCGACCACCTGGAGGTTCCGCTGGTTGTGGCCCCCTCGGGCGACTCGATCGCCATCTTCAACATGCTCACCGGGGAGAAGGTCCGCAGTGTGTGTGTGTGTGTGCTCGCTTCCCGTGGGCGCCCCCTTCCTGCGGGCTGGGCCATCTGGCGTCTCCGCCTTTCGGTTACTCACCTTCCTGCCTCTCCCCCCCGCCCCCCCCCCCGCGCCTCCGGACGCATGGCGGGCTCCAGGTCCGCGATCTTGTCGGGCACTTTGGCCAGGTCACCTCGGTGCGAGTGCGTTCCCCCCGGGCGGGCGGCTTGGTGGAGCTGGTCTCCGCCGGCGGCGGGGGGCGCATTCTCCGCTGGGTGCCGGCCGTCGGCTGTCGGGCCAGCAACTTCGCCACGGCCGAGTTCTCCAGCCCGGCGTCGCTGGCATCCCGCCCGCACCTGGCCCTGCCATTCACCCCGCCCGAGGAGATGGCCATGCCGGCGGAGGCTGCCCTCCCGGGGGGCCCGGCCCCGGCCCTGGGGCCCGGCTTGGCAGCGGGCGCGTCCCCCGCGCAGGCGCCCCACCCGACCAAGCCCCCGGCCTCTGGCGGCATGCCCCGGCCCTTGCTGCCGGCGGAGGCATCCCACGCCGAGGCGCTGGCCGCCGCCGGCCTCCACAGCGTCGACATCGACCAATGGAGCTCCTCCGACGAGGACTAATCACGCCGAATAGAACCAAATCCATACATCCAGAACCGCCGTCCTCCTCGGGCGCCCAAAAGGGGGCCGCCCCTCTGGCCGGGGGGAGGGCTCCCTGCAGGGATCTCTCCATCTTTATCTCTCTCTCTCTCTCTCTCTCTCTCTCTCTCTTTTTTTTTCTCCCCCCCGGACGTGCCAAGATCAGCCCGCAGCAGGCCACATCAGACTCGCATTGCCGCCGCCCTCGGCCCTGTCCGTGTGATCTCCCC